TCTCTCTCTCTCTCTCTCTCTCTCTCTCTCTCTCTCTCTCTCTCTCTCTCTCTCTCTCTCTCTGCCTCTCTCGCCTCTTTCTCTCTCTCTTTCTTTTTTCTTTTTCCCTCAAGTGTGTCTCTGTCTCCCTCTCCCTCATTCCTTCCCTCCCCCTCTCCCTCCCCTCCCTTTTCCTTCCTCCCTCCCTCCTCCTTTCTCTCTCTCTCTGTCTCTCTGTCTTTCACCCTGTCTCTCACTCTGTCTCTCTGTCTCTCTGTCTCTGTCTGTCTGTCTCTGTCTCTGTCTCTCCCTCTCCCTCTCCCTCTCTCCCTCTCTCTCTGGAAAGGCAAAGTTCTTGAGAGGAAACACACAACTTTACGGGACTCTGACATGCTCAGATTCTTGGTGCCTGTGATATTCCCTCTAGGCAATAAGGAAGACTCTCAAAGAGACCTGCTAGAATTGAGATTTGGCAATTTCATATTCCTCCTCTCCAAGAAAACCCACACCAAAGTGTTTGTGTGGGGAAGGGGCCAGAACTAACGGAGAAAACATGGGAGAGAATGGAGGTTGAACTGAAACTAACCCAACAGGATATCCCTAAGACCAACAAAAATGCCCCACAGTCACAGCATTTGAACCTTGGACTCCAGCCTCAATAACCTTTCCAAGAAATTCTGACATATTTTCTGCTGTGTAATGTGTCAAATAGACTGCATACTGGTCGCTGATTCCAAACCCCCTTTCTTCAAACCCAGGTAAGTCTTTTAAGTTAGGCTCTAGGAAGATGATCATTTATGTTAGCTGGGCACTCCCCCGACCCCCACCCCACCCAGATTCCTAATCTTAATGGAACTGAGAGTTAAGAATGATTTTTTAATGTCTCGTTGGATTTTTAGACTGTTAATGTACCGAATCCTTCTCATTATTACTTTATTGATTGCTCATTGACCAGCCCCCTTCAAATCGTATTAACCACCCTCTGCCGGTTTAGATTAGGAGAGTTTAAAAAGCACCTTTCATTACTCCCCCCTCCCCAACTCCTGCCATGGAGTTGAGACTAGGCAGCTTAATGGGAGCTCTAATGGGGCATCTAAGAAGAGAGGGGCCACGGTCCCTGCCGACTGCATTAATAGCTCAAAGGGGGCCAATACAGAAAATTAGCCGTAAACGAGCTCTGGAGATCTTCAAATGAAAGAGCCATTTATCACGCTGGCTACCTTCACTCCGCTCGTTCGCTCTCTCTACTGGGAACAACTCATTTCCTCTTAACTAAATTACTTCAGAAATGTCAGCTAAGCCCACATAGCAAACATAACAAGAGAAGGAGTCTATAATGTATGGGGTGATGTCAACAGGGAAGAAAAATTAGATGGGTTAAATGTTAGGAGTGGCCATGACACAGCTGGACAGAAAGACACAAAGACAGACAAATACATCTTTTATGCCCAGGTTGTTAGACTTCATAAACATAGGAGCAGAGACGTGTAGATGTAGACTAGTTGCTGGCCTTTTCCTAATGAAGTATAATTTTCTAAAAACTGTCTAAATGCCCATTAGAAAACAAATTAAGCAACCAAGTCCCCTGCTAGTTGCTGAAATTTAGAATATTCAGTTCAGGAAACTTTCTCACCTCTCTACAGAATTAATCTCACAGAAGCATCCCTCATGGGGATGAGACTACGCAAAGATCGGAGAGGAGAGGCTGGGAAGGAGCTAATGAACCCATAACTTTATTTTAAGTGGTTCCTGGTGAGTTAGAAAAATAAATCAAACATTTGTTCATCTTTTGCCTGTGGCTTTTAAAAGATAAAAATGTGATATTAGGATCTCTTGTTCATGTAATAAAGCAAACATTTCAAGTATCAAATAATAGGACTGACCTAACATTCATATTTATACTACTCACCCCAAATCAATTAACATGAGGAGGGTGTTATTTTGATGTTTTAAATCGTGCATGCTTTTTAAAAGCTTTCGGGGGAGGGGGAGGACATGTGGCCTTCTCAGAAAAACACAACAAGCAACTTTAGTCAACACTGTCCTTTATCTCTGGAAACAACCTCATACATAAATATTCATGTTTCTCTGGCAAACATATTCAAATACTGCAACCAATGCTTCCCACATCTAAGAAAATCATGAACCCCATTTTGCTAGGCAAGCTAAGTTCCAAATATTTTTATTGGCCTGACCATTAATAACATTTCTGATTGGTCATCTGCTGGGCATGTCCCTCTGCCAGCCAATTGATGTTGCTAGGATACCGAACCCTGAGCTAAGCTGTTCAGGCTTTTCACAAAAAGGGAGGGGGGAAATAAGACAACAATGACAATAGGGAACAGAAAAGCTCCTCCCTCACCCCACCCCAATCAACCAGCAATTAACCAAAAGAGAAGACTCAAGAGGAACCGGTGAAAGTGAGCAGTCAGCAGGGCAGGCTGGCAGCCTGAGCACACACCCTGAGTATACCAGTGGAAGAGAGTATTATCTAAAGAAGAGAGTGAGAAATACCAGGCAACATTTTTAAACCCATTTAAAAAATCATTCCGTAACAAAAAAAGGCATCATTCAGCTACTGTTTTCCCTGTCTACCTCACAAAGCTATCGGATTTCTAAAAGGAGAGAATTCAGCATACATTTGAGCCCTTTGGAATCCTCATTCCACAAGCTGCCTACTACTGCCCCAATTTGAGGCTGGATGGATTGCTTTCTAAATTATCTTTTTCTTTAATTATTTTTGTGAATGTTAAGTGGCTCAAGTGAATCACAAATGACTGAAGCTGGGGACTGTTGACTCCAAACAGAAGGACCATCTTCCTCCAACCTCAATAAGAAAGGGCTATAGTCGTTAAAACTGAGTTTTCCAGTACCAATCCATGTGATAATTAAAGATTGCACTGTGTACACATTCCCACTTTTAAATTTGTGGCATGTGAGTGACATTCAGGCCTTGAAGCAGCTACTCTAATCGCCAGACATTCTCTCAGTGACTGTCAGCGAAGAGGAGAAAAAAAAATTAAGCAGCTGCAATACGCCTGAAATGAGTTATTGTAATTACATTTAATTAGTTTAATTAGTTAATTATTTTTCTTACAGCTGTACAAGAGACTGCAAACATTTGTTAATATCACATGCCCTTTAACAGTATGGGGTGATTCCACAGTCACAGTAAATCATGAGCGCATATGCAGGAAGATTTAGATGCGTGCGTAGTCTGTCTCAGCCTCTCAGGGTGAGCATATTTAGCAAAGCATTTGGCACAATTAAAAAAAATAATAAAAAGAAACAACTCATAAGACACAGAGAACTGGTACCACAATTACTACCAAACCACAAACAAGAGGGAAAAAGCTATCTCCATGACACAGACTTTAACACCGTCTAATCCAGATATCAACAAAGTAATAATAGCACATTTTTGAAACCAGTGGTTCCCAACTGTTTCTGCACACCATAATGGCTCAGTCATATAAGATGCATTTGGAATGGCTACCTTATGTATTATGAGAAAAATGGCAATTGTCAGTCAGTGTAGCTCTGTTTCCCCAGTCCTGGTTTCTGACTGAGTTTCCATTCCCTTGGTCTCATTTCCTTTTTCCCAGCATGCCCTTTTACTTAGTCTGATAGCCATTGAACTGATTTACAACAAACACTTTTTGGTAATATAAAATAATGAATTCTCCCAAAGTGAAAGCTAATCATAAGGACATTGAAATCATTGCTTACTTTTGGAAGAAACAGTCCATACCTTTTTTAATGACTGACTGGTCCAATAGGTTCATGCCGCTGTTATTGGCATCTTCAACTGACTGTGAATATAAAAACATCACCATTCAAATTGACTGGATATTAAAGAATTGCATACATAAATCATGTCATTCTAAACGGGATTTTCTATTATTTCCATTTATATTAATTCACAAAGGGAGGTTTTATTATTATCCTTATTATCCCCAAATCGACATAGAAATGAAATTCACTGAAATGGCAAATTCTCCCAATAGAAGAAAAAGAAAACAGAACGTATGAGAGACATCTAGGATGCAGTATTGGCTTTGTTATTATCTGAAACACAGATATTACACAGGCATATAAACTTTTATATTACTTGCGCATATGAATTGTGAAAAGTTGGCAACAGCTGAAAGAATTTTCCACCAATATTAGTTAAGAGCAATTTCGGTTTTTCCTTCTATACCAGTGCATTTAACCCCAGAGTCATTTTTTACAAATACATAATAGTTTACATTATGGGATTTTAATTAAAGTCTGAGCAATTTGAAGTGGAATGCAAACAGCAATACAGAAGCCTCCAGGACCTCACACCCACTGCAGTCCACACACATTCCTGTGAGCTATGTGCTTCTTGCTGTAAGGGGACAGTCCCTGCAGTAACCTAAGCAATGTCCATACTCCCCCTCCCGCCATGCTGAGGTACACACCTGTTAGGAAGGCAGTTAACTACAGATACAGGCACACCGATAATGGTGCACACACAGACAAAGGACTGGATCCTCCCAGTCATCACCTTAGTAATCACAAGGAATATCCACCTTCAGTTTCATCCCAGAGAGGGGGGAAGTTTCAACTCAGAACTGGCAGCACTTCTAAGAGAATGGTTGTTGGAGGAGTTCCTAGCTGTCAGGATGCATGCATGGGAACTGGCCTTCTAGCTGTGCATTGCAGGGTGTCAAAAAGCAGATTCCCTTGCCCCTGCCACACTCCCAAAGAAAATACCCACTTTCTTTTTGAATCCTACAACTGCTTCCCTTGATCCTTTGGAACTTAAGTCTAGACCAATTTGTCACCCACTCTATAAAGAAGTGTACAATGAAGGTTTGGGGATTGATGTGTTTCCCTAGCACTTCCTACCCATTCAGGATGAATCTTTGAACAGGGTGTATGTCCATCACAAGAGAAAAATAATATCATAAACAAGCAAGTGTGTCTTGAGAAATGAGATGTTCTAACCATCAGGAGGTATGCTCATTCGTTTCTTTCCATCTTTACTAGACACTCTCCTGCTCTTAGAAGGCTGAGGGTGGGGTGTTTCTCCATTTGAATAGTTTTCTCTGTCATAGACCACCATACACATCTTAATAGTGAAGAAGTGTCTTAAAAATATTTCATGAAACTTGTCCACAAGTTTTCAGGGGACCCTGTGACACACACACAGGCATGGTCACAGTCACTTCACCCTTTTCTAAACTTGTGTGTCCTTTGGCAATGGCTAGGGGTCCAGACAGGACAGAAATATTTGCCTGTGTGTGTGGGAGCAAAACCCATCACATACGGTCCTGGACCCATGAGCCCCCACACCTCACACTCATGTTCGTACGCAAATATGTATCTACGCCTCATCAGCGACGTGGGGTAGTTGTGGTAGTTAATGAGAAGGCTCTTGTCTGATTTTCTATCTAATTACGGCCGCCTGCTGGGTTTTTGTACAGGATATTCACGCAGCATGCTGGCGCTTAATCGTCACAGGGAGGATCGTAAAGATTTAATTAGGACTGCATGCGGAAGCGCAGAAAAACAACTCAGACTCATAATTACTAGACTTCTTTAGTTAAAAGTGATACCAGGGGTTGCTTTGAGACACAAGGGTGTGTTTGAGTGTAGTGTGTGTGTGTGTGTGTGTGTGTGTGTGTGTGTGTGTAAGGTTCACTTAAAAGCTTTATATGTTGACACTCATGGGTGGTAGAGGTGATGGGAGGTTAGAGAGCCAAGCTGTGAAAAACAAGATGCCTACTCCGGCAACTAAACAAATCCACAACTAGGTGTCCCCTCACTCTCTTTTTCTGTAGCCATTTCCCCCCTGAGTTTTTAAACACTGCCCCCCCTCCCCAATGGGTGAAATGTAGCATACCCGGAACCCAGACAGCGATCTGCTAGTTTAATAGCCCCTGTGAGTAAATTGAAATAGAAATTGACAGGGTTTTATAGTTTCATTTAAAAAATATTAGAAGCATTTGGTTAATTAGCTCTCCTTCTTTTCTCTCACAGGGCGGCGGCCTCGTCAATGTGCCTCTAGGTCACATGAAATTCCCCCAGTTCTGGACCCATACATAGGGCCTATGTAGCACCCTCTGGCTCTGTCTGGTCCCTGGCTTCCAGTGTCCTGAATGCACATAAACCAGAGGCCTGGAATAGAATAAATGACTTTGGGGTCCAGGCAAAGCCCCTCTGATGTCACTTCTAGAGACCAGAAGGGTGCAGTTTACCCCCTTGAGTCTGTAGCTTGGTGTCTGGAGACTGGGCAGTCTCCATAACTTTAACCCCTGCACTCTAGATCCGGAACTTGCCAGTGGACCCTTGGAGGGGAGCTGATCAGCTACATTTCTGGATCCAAAGCACATACCTTCTCATTCCTTCCCTTTGCCATCTCAGCCTTGCCCTAGCCTCAGGAGGCCTGTCACTAGGACCACACTGGACCAGCACCACCGAGCTTGCTGAGGCTGGCAAGGATGTATTCCCCCATACTTCTTCACACTTAGGGTTGCTGGAGAAGGCCCTACAGGCCTCTCCATGGTTGTCAGGCTATCTGCTGAAGGAAGGAGAGGGAAGCAGAGAGCACTTTCTACCTCCAGCGTCTCTGAGCAAACTGCACCAGCTCAGGCTGCCACAGGGTTCACTTAAAGACTCTAAATCCATCCAGTTGTTTTATGTTATTCTCCCCAAAGCACTTCCCTGGCTTGATTTGTCCTCTCCCTTTGCAGTCTGCCAAATACTCAAAACCCCTTAAAGTTTGGACTTAGAGAAAACATTCTAAAACCAAAGAAATTTGTTCCCTATTTTAGAGAGATATTCCAGGGTTCAGTTTTTTGTCTGAGTCTCTTGGCCTGCAGGGTGGAGGCAGTGGTAGCGGGTGATGTTCACACTCCCAGTTACGGTAGGTAATGGGGATGTATAGTAGTGGGTGACATTAGCATCCCCAGGGTAATGAGGGTGTGAGGTTGATCTACCTTCATTATCCAACACTTTGAACCATACTTAAAAAGGTTAATTTAAAAACTTTCCCCCCAGCTGCATATTACTCCAATGCATTTAAAAAAAAAAAAAACCTCAATATTTCTTTTCTTGTATGGTATTCTGAAATGAGCATTACCTCCAGACAAGCACAGCTCAGTAAAAATCAACAAAACCATAACTCGTGGTACTGTGGGTGAATCCAGCCACAGATCAGGTGGGTTCTTCCTTTTTAATAACAAGTTTTCTCTAAAACAACGAACCATCACGGACTTCACAGAGATGGTATTTGATGCTGTCACCACATTTTGACTGTTCTTAAATATATATACATATGTGTGTATATATGTATGTGTATATATATATACATATTCACAGCAAAATGAAGAGGAAGGGCTTGACTACCTTCTCTTTCCCATTTCTTTTTTCTTTGCTTCAGAGATAAGTCTACAATGATGCATAACAAATTCAACGATGCCAATGAGATTCAAGTGTCAATTAAATGCCTTACGACAATATTTATCTTTTTTTGGAGACTCCTTAAATTGGGGGAGGGTGTGTATGAAGCAGAACTGTTCAGACTCAGCCTGACAGTATTTAGGAATCTTTTCTTTGATGTTTCTTTGTTTAGTTTAGCCAAGTGTTCTCATCCAACCCTGCCTCTATTGTGTTGGTTGCAGATGGGATACTGGCTTGCATAGGGGGTATGTTCTGAACCTTTTGTTTTAAGAAATAAACACGTGATGCCTCTTCAGAGGGGATAGTAACACTGAGGAGGGGTGAAAACTGTCCGAGGAGAGGACTGAAGGGGAAGCTGGGGAACACTGCTTTACAGCCAGTTAAGTGGCCTTCAGATGAGATTTCCAAAAATGCTGTCTGTCCTCAAGGACTCCAGAACCCAGTCGCAACTGTCTCGGTTCGTCCCCAGCAAAGGTCCCGTTGTCAGGTGACGACTCTAGAATTTTGCTTGAGAAAAGGGCTCTGCAGCTTTTGGAAATCCAAAGCAAAGGAGTCCTAAACAAACACGGTTAATGACTCCCTTGCAGAGTGCATTGTCATTCTGAGCACTGCTTTGCAAACGGGAGAGAACACCTGGGGCCTTCAGGGGCCCCAGTGCCTTCTTGCTTAGAGCTCTGTGCTCGAGACAGCCAGCACTTCGCCTACCAAGCCACCGGGACAGGCTCACTAGGGTGTGATCCTGGTGCCAACTTCTTCACACAAAGCAACAGAGAATGCACAAGTCCAGCAGCTGAGCCAAGATGAAAACATTAGCCTTGATGGCAATGACTGTAAACTACCACGAACGTATTTCCTCCTTCAAGATTTCATTTCCAGCCGTCCTGTCATTCACAAATGGATCTCTAGAAACTGCCACCTTGTAGCCACGCACTCAAAACACACGCTTTTGCCCTGTCCTGTCGGTTCGGTTCGAAAGATGACAACCCCACCCCCACCCCCACCCCCAGAAGACTAGGCCTCCTCTACCCCCTCCCCTGCATTCTCCTTTTATGATTATTTTTGTTTGTTTAGAATTACCTGCACATCTTCCATGCCGGGATGCCCAAGACCGTGCAACGAGAGGCTGTCGCCCATGCCGGCGTCCAGGCCGTGGTGTGCCGAATGTAGCAGCACGTCCGGCCGGCGGACAGAGTGGTAGTCCCTTCGGGGGTCGAGGCCCGAGAGCTGGGGCAAGGCCGCCCGGGGCTGGGGCAGGAGAGAGCCGGCTTCTGAACCCACTTCCTGGCGCTGCCGCTGTCCCCAGGGGTGCTGCTGGGGCTGATGCAGAGGGTTCAGGGAGTAGGGGTCGTTGACGTGGGAGTAGGGGTCTTGACTCTGGTGGTAGGGTAGCGGCTGGTAGGGGGGCGGGAAGTAGGGTGGCTGGAAGTCCGATGATGGTGTGTGGGACAGCGGCGGGGCGCTCGAGTAGGGTCCTTGGGACACAGAGCCCAGCTGAGAGAGTCTCGAGCTATGGCTTGGGACGCCATCGTGCCGGTCCTGGGAG